CACACACACACACACACACACACACTTGCATAGCTATCCGTTTGAGGACATTCCATTGACTTCCATTACATTTCTACAGCCTAACCCTGACCACAAACCCTAAGGTTAACCTCACAGGTACCTACCTGACCCTAAAACTAACATAAACTCAATTCACAACTTGATCCTAAACCCAATCTCCAACCCACCAATGGCATTTAAACCAAATGAGGACTTGACTTTTGTCCCCAAATGCACCAGTTGTCCTCAAATGTAGGCATTTTGTCTTAAAATTGCCCCCAAATGTCACCAAACACACACACACACACACACAGACACACACACATACACAGATTCGCCCAGCTATCCATTTGGGGACATTCCATTGACTTCCATTACATTTCTACAGCCTAACCCTGACCACAAACCCTAAGGTTAACCTCACAGGTACCTACCTGACCCTAAAACTAACCTAAACTCAATTAACACCTTGATCCTAAACCCAACCCCCAACCCACCAATGGCATTTAAACCAAATGGGGACTTGACTTTTGTCCCCAAATGCACCAGTTGTCCCCAAAGGTAGGCATTTTGTCTTAAAATTGTCCCCAAATGTTACCAGAAACACACACACACACACACGCACGCACGCACGCGCGCGCGCGCGCACACACACACACACACAAAAATAAGCATTTACTTTTCTAATAATCCCCAAATTTACCAAGAAACACATCTTATCTCCTCTGTCCAACTGTAAGTTCAAAGTCACTGTAGTTGAGATAATCGCCTGCTTGTGTCTGTTGTAACTATTGAGTTCCGACATTGATTGCAATTACCTGAGGCTGCCACATCAGCAATTGGTCTCTTTGTTACGTAAGCCATGAATCCCACAATGGAAAAGATGACAAAGCCGGCAAACATACTGGTAAAGGAGTTGATGCAGCAGACGATGATAGAATCTCTGCAGGGGAGATAGACAAAGCGCAAGGCAGCCATTGTCACGCCTGTATCAATTCCTTATCAACTCGTCACACATTGTGGAAAAGCGAGGGGTGGGGGGGAGTTGAAAGCCATTTTGCACCCTTCATTTGTACAGCAGCTGAATACATTCATACTGACCTGTTCTCGTTTAAAATGGCAGAAAGGTATAGACGTTTCAGGATATTTAAAAGCCAAATCAAACATAATTGTTCTCCTAAAAGCCTACCCTTGAAGGCTACAGTGTGACACATGTGTAACTGCAYACAAGATGGAGCCAAATCAGTGGCTGAAGGGTCAAATTATCTCAAAACTACAACAGTGTCATAGCAACAACAACAACATATTCCCTGCAGGAGAATTCTGCACATTCACCTTAAAATAATCTGTAGGTGATTTAGGACCATTTTTTGAAGCTGAGTCTGAATAAAAGCATGTTTGATTCCTGTTTTTAAATGTACCTTCAAGTGTGACATTCAATCACATACCTGTAGACGTTGTTATTGAAGGGATTGTAGCTGCCAAGTGCAATCAGAGAGCCTAATCCCAGTCCATAAGAGAAGAAGATCTGAGTGGCAGCGTCGAGCCACACCTGACACATAAAGGATTAGAAAACATCCACGTCCTCATTTCAGTCGGTGTTTGAAACAGTAGCATGAAATGAGTGTTTGCATTGTTTGCACAATGTTATGTCTGAGCAGCCCACTTCTAGGTGCTCAGTAAGTCCTCCTTGGTCACCTTTGTTGATCTTTTTTTTGTAAAGTAGCTGTATGCTGCTAAAAATCCAACCCAACTGAGAGCTCACCTCAGATTCCTTCAGCTTGTCAAAGTCTGGAGTGATGTAGAAGAGAATTCCATCAAACGCTCCAGGCAGAGTGATGCCACGGCAGAACAGGATGAACAGCATGAAGTAAGGATACGTTGCAGAGAAGTACACCACCTGTGAGACACAAAAAGAGTAACAGTTTTACAACGTGTAATATTCACACTTGAAGCATGTGTTCTGCATGGCAACAAAAAAGCTAAAAATGAAACGCTGAATTGCTCAACTGGTGAGTGTTCTGGGTTACTGTGGCACCGTCCCCACTGCACTGCACTGTGCCCAAGTCAGTCACTCCTCAGAGGCAAGGTGACAGCCGAATTAAAGGGTTCAGCATGCTTTCACTGCGCTTTTACCTTCTTATCTGAACCACTTTTGCTCCTGTGCTGTCAAAGCCTGCACTGTTTCATTTAAAAAAAAGAAAACTATGCATCAAAGCTTGTTGTAGTTTAACACTCAATGATAGACGTGTATGTAACTGTATTTCATTTTTACTCAAAATTGTGATTATTTTAGACCATTTTTCCCCTGTATTGCCCAGCTCTAATAGATATGGTTGCAGTGTATAAACTCAGGCCGGTGCTTTTACACTACCAACACAAAAGATCTTTAAAGTACAGTTCTAGAGCCACAGTTCCTGTGATATGTTGAATTCTATAACAAGTATTCATAATCATTATAGATTAAAAAACTCTTATAAATCAGTTGTTTATATTACAATACTAAACTGAGTGATGATTTATGATTTGAATGGTGAGTTGGGATGTACATGCTATGTTCTTTTTATTTCACTATGGTATTATGTGGTCATGATTTCTTGTACTTATTGTCTTTTTGTTGAAGTTGTATTGGCTGTTTTTGTTTTAAAGTGTTTTGATGTTTTGTTGTTGTGGACTCCAGGATGAGTGGTCTATGGTAGAAACATGAGGATCCAATAAAATCAAATGAATCAATTTTAGGTAAAATCTATTGAATAAAAAGATGAAACAGTGTTGAGTTTTATGCTAACATAAAAATGTTGATATCGCCAACAAATTAAAGTTTAAATGATYATTTATTTATGTTAATTTGTAGATTAATGTGTCTCTGAGAAAACTAAATAAAACTTACTAAAACAAAATATTGCCTTCTTTGACTCTATATCTCCTCTGATCTGTAAGTCATAGGGATGTATTTTGGTAAGAACACAGTGAACCTTGTTCAACTACTTGGAAACAGACTCCAAGTTGGCAGCATCTTTCATCCCAGTAAGCTTTTTTTAAATTTTATGTTGCTGTGTTCACACTTTTCTTTTTAGTGTACGCACTTTGCCAGTCCAGCTGACCCCCTTCCAGATGCAGAAATAGACGAGCACCCATGCAATGGCGAGCGTGATAGCCAGTGGGATCCTGACCTCCCCGGGCTTCTCCAGACCGTCCGTGAGCTGATGCATGTTACGCCTGCAGGGAAGAAGAAGAAAAGCAGCCTCACTGCAATGCACAAAGGCATGTTTAATCTCATACATGCGGCGTGCACGCGTGCGTGCACATATATGCCAACACATGTCTTGATATTTACAACGAGCCTCTTCGTGACTGTTTTCTTAGCCCCAAAGCTTTTCAAAGACACCACAGTCAAGAGAAATCATGCTCCTGTGCATTATCACATTTTTCCTTCTTTTACTGCAGATTTTTTTTGCATGTACACAGGTTTTGCTATTCTCATGTCCTTGAGAAGATTTTGCGCTAAAGGATTGAATTCCCATGCAAATTGTCTGATGTGACCCCATATCCTTCACGCAAGGGGACATGACCTAATCGGCTTTATTTTTGTTACAGCAAAGCAGTCCAAAGAAACTCAGCAGTGCGACTTACTCCCAGAACTCTACCACAGCACTGGTGAGGTTTGTGGTGTCTGTGATGCTGTAGTTGGTGTAGCAGCGGTCTGTGTTCCAGGCATTGCCACAAGTTTGCCATGGCAGCTCCTGAAAATAATTTAAAAAAGAGCACATAGAAATGAGAAGACAGCTCTTTTTCCTTGAACCCCCCTCTCCCATCGCTGGGTCCTTTTCTCTCTKGCTGTCAAGCAGCCAAGACCGTGATGCTCATTTGGGACATTGAGATTTCATGCTTTTCTCTGAAGAGTGAATGCTTCATTGCAGAATGCATTTATCAATACCTTGTGTAAGGCACTAATTATGCAGGAAAGGAAGTAATAAAAGTCATACACTGCTGAGGGTTTTGTAGTCTTACATAAGAGATGCTGGCAAAAAGCCTGACACATGACTAAAGTAAATCACTATGTAAAGATACTTCAAAAAACAACAACTATGCTTTGCATGAAAATGCAAAAGCATAAAGTTCAGACTTCTGGATTGTCCTAAATTACACATGAATGAAGGAGATGAATGAGGGAGGGGTGTGGGATTTTTTTTGTATAAACATACTCACAGCAGTGAAGGAGTTGTATAGATAGTAAATAGCCCAGCAAATGATTACAATATAGTAGATATTGAGCCAAAAGGACAGAACAGCTGCAGCTAGACCCACACCTAAAACAACCACAAAAAGCAAAACACAATTGTGATGTTATGTTTGTGCTAAAAAACAAAAACAAAAACAAAAAACAAAAAAACAATAGAAGGGTCACATGTACAAATATACAAAGGTTGTACTTCTTTGCTCAGTAACTCTATTTACAACCTCGCCTGCTGGTCTACATCACCCTTCCAGAAGAGCTCATGACCTTAACATTTACATTAAAATATATTTTACCTTTGAAAATTGGAGCCAGTTTCCACACTCCAAGTCCTCCAATGGAGGTGTACTGACCAAGAGCCGTCTCCAGAAAGAACAGAGGCATGCCAGCAAATACCAGCGTCAAAAAGTAGGGAATCAAGAAGGCCCCTGAATAAAAGGTGAGAAGCAAATGTGTGTAAATAACGATACTTCACATTTCACCAATTTTAATATAATCCAGTAAGGTAAGGAATTTGTTTCAAAGTGCGCCCAGGACACTGCATTTTTTATTGTGCGTAATTACGCACGGAAATACACTTTAAGATCGCTTTTATTTTAAAGTATCCGGCAGCAAACTGTCGCCTATTGATGTCAGGATTTTTGCATTCCTTTAGTTGTGAGGGAAATGGCCAAAAAAATAAATAAAAAATCCTGATTACCTCCGCCGTTCTTGCCACATAAATAAGGAAATCTCCAGACATTTCCGAGTCCGATTGCGTATCCCACACAAGACAGAAGAAAGTCAAATTTCCCAACCCACGTTTCCCTCTCGGGTATGTCCTTTTTCGTCTTCTGCACCTTCACCACCAACGTTTTGGGTTTGTCATTTGGCGTGCTGGCTGCGTCATTCACCGTCTCCGTTTGGACATGTCCGTCCGAGGCTTTGGTCCCGTTTGTAGCCATGGTGACGCTCTGTGTCGGATAGTCCTGACCAGTGGAGAAGTGGTGGTTTCAGCACCGGTCCAGGCAGATCGCAGCTTGTCCGTCCCGTTTCAACCAGAGAGGAGCTGAGAGAACAGCCGGAGCGCGTGAAGAAGCAGGAGCAGAATCAGGGTCACTTCAGCGGACAACTCTGAAAGCATAAAGTGTAAATATTAAAAATTTGTCAATAAAAAAAGAAAAAAAAAAGAAAAATAAACTCTGAATATGGGATGTCAGGTTTTGATAAGGGGGTCAAATTTGTGTGAGTTTTGTTGAAGAACTGCACAATCAGTAAAAAATATAATTCAATGTCAAAATGTTTGACTTAAAAATAAATATGAAACATTTTATATAATTTCCCCATGCTCTATAATTTATGCAAGATGCAGGTATAATTTTAGGCATCTTAAACATAAATTATTTCATTTTCATTACCTTTTTTTTCAGAAGAGAGGGGGGAAAAATGCCCCAAGGTCTGTGAACCCCTCAGGATAAAATAAAGACTTCCCACAAAATAGGAAACACTTCAAATGGCCTGAAGTGAATCCATGTTAGCAGAAATTTAGAGCCTACTCTTGTCCTTGATTCATTGTGCTCTAAATTCAATGGCCCACTTCCCACAGCTCCCGTACAAGAGCAGAGCAATTAAACACATTTAGGAGTCAGTCGCAACCACCACGTCCATTGAATCACCTGAAGAGGCTAACAACTCTTTGGAGGCTCCAGTTTCAGTTTGCATTTTCATCTGTGATCAACAAGACAGGAGCGGACAGTTTAGAGGCTTATTTTTTATGTAGTAAATAATTTGTTTGATTATTTACAATATATGTTTAATACTGAAATGTTGCTTTCCAGATCCTGAATTGATAAACATATGCTTTTATATATACATATATAATTTAAATGTTTCAGGGTTAAAAAGAAACATTCTGTTCTTATTATAATTGGCTGAAACAGAGCGCGCTCTGTCAGCTGGGAGAGGAAGCAAAACGGGAAAAAAAACATTCAGGATGTCTAACCTATGTTTTTTTTTACACATACATATTAGATTTTTCTATCCTAACTTAATGTTTGCTTTGAAGAGACATAAACGCTCCAGACATGATGACATAACCGGGGAGCAGAATTTTGCGCGCACGTTTTTTTTCCATTTAATTTTTAATTTTTCTTTTAAAAAAAATCATTTAAAAAATGTGTACATAACATTAAGCACATATGTCAACCGGGCTGAAGGATCAAACGCGCACATTTCCACCGTGAAATGAGCCCTGCTTTCCCTCAGGTGAAGTGCAGTCATACAGCCGCGCACTGTGCCAAATTCTGCACATCTGCGCACCACTTTCCTCAAGTCGCATCTCAAGGGAGAACCAGACACATTCATAATAAATAATAATAAGAAACATTAGAACTTACGATGAAATCAGCTGATTTGACAGTTCCCAGCACGTTGAGGATCCAAATTAGGGGGAGACAAMGTTATTTCCTTTTAACTGCTGAGAGTAAAACCAAGGTGAAAACTTTTTTTTTTAAATCCGGCGACAGGGAGCAGGAACCTGATCCTCGAGGGAGGGGAAGATGGTGACCAAGTGCGTCTCGGAAAGCGAGGTGCTGTCCTTAAAGGAGTGGTGCTGAAAGAGAGGAAGGGAGAGAAAACGGGGAACGGAGCTGCCGCCGACTGACTTGAAGCGAGCAGGGACGTAACATGGAGCGCATTGGATTTTTTCCCTCTCATCTACATAGCGTCAATGTCACCTCAAAGTCGACCCACCCCAACTCCAACATTTCCACCACTGAGATGGCAGCGGGTTTGAGAGAGGAGCATCCTCTTGTCTCAGGGTTTTATATCCTTACTCATGCAGCAACTTGTCTCTCTGTCCCACCTTCTCCCCTCCTTTCTGACTCACCAAAGGGTCAGTTGAAGCATAATAAGGTTTACTTCCTTCTGTTTGATCAAAATCCCTTTTAAGGTTAACTAAATACCATTCCCTTGCCATTAATCACCCAGGCAACAATTTGAACCACGGTTTTGAGTCCCTGAACTTAGAGTTGTTTACATTTCAGGACGCATGGGAATTAAATAAAAGAAATACACAATTTTAAACATTCCTATTTGGGCTAAAAATAATGTTGCATCAATTACAGGCGCGCAGAGAAGGATGCCAGTAGGCTGGTGTTGCTGCTGGAAAACCATGATAAGAGGGTCCCAGCCAATAAAACGAAGTCAGGGTGTGTGAGATAAATTGAAAACTGGGCTCATAATCTTCTTAGCCCGCTGTTTTCTAAAATGAAATACCCATGTGGAACATCCCAAATGAGAAGTCCTAAAGCTGACTTTAACTCCTGCATSGAGATGAAATATCCACGTCTCAGTGGGAGATTTTGGCTCTCTTGAGTTCGAGTCTTCAGAAAGAGTTAGAGTTAAACACAAAAGGTTCATCAGCTTTTTGGAATGTCACATTTGTGATAAAACGTGATAGTTCAAATGTTTATTTTTTTTCACACCCTGATTGCAAAAAAAAATGTTTTTGAGAGGAACTGATAAGAGTTCAGGTCTTATTTGATCCTAACCAATCCTGACAGATGTATCCAATATCTGGTTATAAAAAATTATGTTTTGACTTTTCTCCTTGCAAAATAATTAGCCCACATAATCAGCCAGTGACACAAACATGACAAAGGTTTCAACAATTTTGTTTAAAAAAAAGAAGCAGATTGTATGTCCATCATAAACAACAACACAAAGACAGGGAACGATGATTTTAATTTCATGCTCATTTTACAGTTCACCATGGATYAAGCTCATGTCTTTATTTTCATACATTTTTGCCTTTTTTTAATCCCTCCCCAGCATGCTGCAGGTTTTGAATCGCTGACACAGTGCTGAAAAACCCATCAGCCGAGAGGAAAGAAAAGAAAGCCCAGATGGTGAACCAATTAGGGGTGAGCTAACCTATGATATGAGACAAAATTTACTATATTCTAATCTCGAACAGGCTGATAAGCCCGCGGGCTGCAGCACCTCTGATGTGCAGAAAGCCTCCCATTAGCCTGCAGCGTCCACATGAAGGGGACTGAAAATGTTACTCTGACGAGAGAGCGCTGCTGGTGCTGCGCTTTGTGGCCCCGGCCCCACCTGATGGTGAGCCTGTGTGCACTGGAGCTTGTAATTACAGAAGGAGGTGGTAGTAATAGAGAGTAGCGTGGCGGCAAACACACAGGCAGACAGCTGGCCTCCTGTCGATTTCACTACTCTGGCAAAGGCGACAAAAAGTGATGCTCTCAAGCCACAGAGCAGATTACTGCTCATGTGGAAAAGACAAAAGAGTGATACAGATGATGACAGTGCAAATAGTTTGATGTATTTTATATTTCTGGCACATCCTTTTRTACACACATCATCTCAGGGCGAAATGAGACTTTGCATCAGGGGTGACAGTCTCAAAAAACTTGGTAAAACTGGAACTTGGAAATTTACGTCTGAGGTAAATATCTGCACAAATGAGACCAGAAAGGTGCAGATAACAGTAAATAAGGACRCCCACTGCCATGCAAATGATGCCTTACAGAGACAAAACTACAATATGTCTGCAGGCATTATTTAAAAAAAACATTTTTAATTTTAATTAGAGCCACATTTAGCATTAAAACCCTACTCTACAATTTATTTAACAATTTCTGCTTTTAGAAACACCTTACTAATTAATATAATAATTTAAAAACACATGCAAATAGTTTCTAGCATAACTATTTAAGGCTACATCTGTGTGTCACAAGTCAAATTATTGCACGTAAACAGAAGATGACAGAGCAGAAAAGCAGA